CACTAGAGTTATTTGCTCTGGTAGCGTGGGGACTTAGGTACTCCTGACTAATGAAAAAATATGCTGTTTTCCTCACTGTAGATGAAGATACAACTTTCCATGAAAACTCTAGAAAATAATTGACTTGGTTTCAACACTTGGTCAATGTTTACTTCTAGAGGTGGTAGTGAAAATGGGCTGTGGAGGACATGTACCTGCCTTTCAAGTTTAGCATTTTGCCATGAAAGACTCTAAGCAAGGGGTTTTCAATATCATAGCTAGCTCATTTGTAAAATTTAGGTAATAACAATGTCTAAGATTTCAAGATGCTATGGAGAAAAAAACTGATGTGAGAAATGAAAAGTATTTTGAAGAGTATTCAGCAGAAAGTAAGCATCCTTAACGTATTTGGTATCACATGTCTTGTCATGAACCTGCACCAACTCCTCAAACACATGTCATGCTATTTATCTGGTCCAAAATTGCCTTTGATATGATAAGAATTAACAGCTATATTTTAAGATAGAAGCAAATTGCATCCATTGTCTAATAACAAAAGAATGGCAACTCTAATTAGAGAGGGTTGTATCAGACTGATTCCTTAAAGGTCCTGCTGTGAACCAGAGCTATTTTAGTCCTCAGGGTCAGTGTTAAAGAGATGAAATTCACAAAGCAAACACTGGTGAACAAAGTGACAGATCTAGGGTCAATAGCATGAACACTACAGAATCAGACCTTTTGGGAGACAGACTCATAATAATAGTGTTTAGATTTAGAGAAAGAATTGATGTGTGACACTGATGTTATTACACATGAGAAAATGAGGTTTTCATTATTCAGGGATTCATTCCATTTAGATGGTGGCTAAATTGTCTAAAATCCCCTTTTATATCCTGTAAATATCAGACACATTAAGAATGTCAAAACATTAGGTAACCCTTAGCAAATATCAAAATAACTATTCAGAATAAAGAAAACTTGTGCATTGTTCATAGCTGTGAGAAGAACACAATTAAATGTTGATGTCTGGGGATGAAAATGGCATGCAGAGTCTTGCCAGCATTAAAAATGCCAAGAAAAAAAATTACTCCTTCCACAAGAGCCAGGAAAGATGAATTCAAGTGCTCCAAATGGAACACCACCCACATAATCGCTGTTTCATGAAGGTGAAGCTAACTGCAATGTATGTTCATCACAGCCACATGCCTTAACAATTGCATCATGCTGTCATTATTCCAGAGTCATCAAAGTTGGGTGACTCTAAAACTCTGAGATGTTTACTCTGAGAACTTAATTGTAGTGCCACAGCTCTACACACTGACCTAGAAAATGCCATGCGATTTTATGATAATGTCCTGTAATTGTCATAGCCCAAGCACTTTACCTAATTATGTGATGTGACTTAAAAAGAAAATATCCATTGCTCATAAATCATTTCCTCACTTAGAAATCATCAGTATTTTAGTGAAGAAAATTGCAGCACAATCTTTTGCTCCAGTTTTAATAGTACATTACAGGAAAATATGTTACCCAGAAAGAATAATGAGAGAGAGAAAAAAAAAACAAAACAAAACAAAAAACCAGATGCTTCAGTATCATTATGAGTCTCAGCCATGTAGAGTTCAGGCAAGAAATGGCTCCTGACTTGATTACATACAATTAAGAATGTATGTCACTACTCAGGATTTGTTCGCAGATCTCTAAAAAAGGAACAATCACTGAACTCTACAGATAAAAGTTTCGAATAGTGTCTTATGCCCCATAGGTGATGCCTTGGTCATGCTAAAAGCAAATACTGATCTGTCTAAAGAAATCCATAAAAAACTGTCTTCTTGCTCTACTCTTTGAACAATAGTGAAGTTATGCTTCAAGTCTAAGTGCCTCTCTTAGGTCAATTAAACCAACTTTGTAAGCAAATTCATTTCTTCCTAGAATTAGTAAATTAATGAGGAAACATAAAAAAATGATAAGTTAGGGAAGGGGAAGGTTCTATAGTTTTGCATATTTTTGCATTTTTCTGAATGTATTTATTTTACTTAGCTTAAGAATGATCTGGCTGAACATGGTGGCTCATGCCTTTAGTTCCAGCACTTGGGAGACAGAGGCAGACAGATCTCTGTGAGTTCAAGGCTAGTCTGGTCTACAGAACAAGTTCCAGGACAGCCAAAGCTACACAAAGAAATGGTGTTTCATTGAAAGAAATCATCTAAAAATCACATACTGACTCTTTTATAAATTTGTTATAAATATTGGGAGGTATAAAAGAATTTCTCTAAATTCTTGTTATTATTATTAAGTAGAAATATAATAGTCTTTAAATTTTTGAAATTACTTCTCTATATTGAAAAAGCAGATCAACACACTCTTCTTTAATTAATAAGTACCACATCTATGGAATCATATTTTAGCACTGCTCCACAAAGAGCTGTTGTCACAGACATTGTCTGCTATACTACACTCAGCAGGAACCACACCTTCATTGGAGAATAGCCATGAACTCTATGGCAAACTCTATGTAAATAAAAGTTCATAAACTAACAAGTAGCTGTTTTTAAGAAAACAAAGAAAGTATTCCTATCTGTGTGTTTCTTTTTAGAAATAGAAACGGTTAATATATTTCCTAATGCTCTGACACATCCCAAGCAGAGTATGTGTGTCAATGTTTCAATTTGGCTAGCAAGGTTGACTGGTTACAAAAACTGCTGCCATTAGTGACATATTAATTATATGTCTCCAGGTAAATATTATGTTGCTCTACATTAATTTTTTTACATAGTTTACTGGTTTCTAGGGATTTAAAGCACAAGTTGCAGTATATATATATTTGCATGTGTGTGTATGTGTGTTATAAGTCAATGACTATGAAGTTTTTAGGTGAAATTTGACTCAGCTTTCTAACAAATATTTAGTTATAAATATTTTGATTTAGGAACAAATGTATTCACCAATTGAGCAGAAGATTATGGTCTTTTATGGGAAAACTTTGTCTATATTTTGAAAAAAGAGAGATGGATTTGGATTTCTAAGGTTTTTCCTTATTCAAGCAATTTCAATGATTCAGCTTATTCAACTTGCTTTACTAGAAAATATTTCTGTTCTTTGTGGTATTAGATTGTTTATGATTTATTGAAGTTTGCCTGAGCGTTCCTAATGCAAAACTAGCCACAAGGCATAGAAGTCAGGCAATGGTGATACACATCTTTAATCCCAGCAGTTATACTAGCAAGCCACAAAGCCAGGCAGTAGTGTCACACACCTTTAATCCCAGGACTCAGGAGACAGACAGATGGATCTCTCTTAAGTCAAGGCCACTCTAGCCTACACAAGAGTGAAGCGTATCAGAGCTCATGCCTTTGTTGCCAACACTTGGAATCACAGGCCTTTAATCCCAGCACTAGGGATATGGAGACATGAGTGATATGGCTGGGTGGAGAAAGAAATATAAGGAGGAGGAGGCAGGAACTCAGAGCTTTTTGCATCTGAGGATTTGTGGAGACAGGATTGCTATTTCAGCTTGGTAGAGGTAAGATCTACTGACTTGGCTGCTTTGCTTCTCTGATCTTCAGCTTGAACCCCAATATCTGTCTCTGGGTTTTTATTATTCATGTTAAAGTTCTGTGAATTATTTCTGATGTCTTGAGATACAACATGGTTCCCAGATATTGGCATGGGTCAAAATCTGAATTGTTAGCTCTTAGTAACTGGTTGAAAAAGAAAGATGGATTAAAGGAAGAAAATAAAACTCGGGAGCTAACACTAGTTTGGAGTGTAAAAAGGACTAATGTAGTAAATCCAAAAAGATGATCTAACTACAGTAATTTTTATTTCAAAACAACGCATAGAGTAAAAAGCTAAGAACACATTATTTGGTATTCAACAAGTCAATTATTTATTTACCTGGGTGATATCTCTTAAGTACACTGATTATAGTTAATAAATACCAAACCATTGTCTTTCTTCATTATTCTTTTATATCTTTCTGAAATATTGGATTATTAAGCTTACATCACCCTAATGTATAACACAAAACGATAAAATAGCACTGAGTAAATTTTAAACAGGACATTCTCTGTTCCTCATTTATTTTGTTCATTCAATCATTTATTTAAATAATAAATGCGATTTTTCTATATTCTTCCCCAAAATACATTGTCATATTTCAATAGAATCCTGTTTCAAAGGGTATTCTGAATCATAAAACTACCTCCCTGCAGCAGTAAGAGTTAAAGTTTTAAAATTAAAAGGCTTTTATTTAAAATTGTCACTACACTTTGCTCATCACATGATGTAATAATTCCCATCAATATGTTTCTCTTCACTGTTATCTCTTAAAGACCTCCCCCTGCCTTTGCACTATCCTCACAATGATTTTATGTGAGATAAATAAGTTTCAGCTCCAAAGCAAACAAGACATCAGTTAAAGTCAGTGCAGCTTGGAACTGACTGACCCATGATTTGGCAAGTTTCTTAAGCTGGCAAATATTAGTGAGGAGAAAGACTTGTTTTTGGTGGTAGGAAAAAAGATTCTTATGTGGGACATCATAAAACAAAACCAAAACAAATAGACACAAACCTCTAGCATCCTTAACTCAAAAGAGAAAAGGGAAAAGTCTGAACATACCCTGTGACCAGAGACACCTCCACTTTCCCTCCTACTATATATCTTTTCAGGAACATTGCACTTGCTCAAGTGGGCAGGAGGCAAAATCCCAGCCTTTCAATGTTCTTCTCAAAAATGTGTCCTGAAAAAAGGCTTGACAACATCCAAGGCTTTCAAAGGATGGTTCTAGATGTATCATAATGGAGGTGTGTAATATGAAACTGTTGGAGATGTACTTACCAAATGGATTATGAGAGTTTGTCTAGAAATTCTGATATCCAGTCAGTGCCATCTTGTCCAAACTCTTGGGATTTGATTCCCATTCAGTGATTGATAACATGAGGTTAAAGGAACCCCTGCTTTATTTTAATCTTCAGGAACATTAGGCTTTCTCATTATTTACTATTATTTATTGACATAATTCCAAAGCTCAAAATATTTTATTACACATATATTTGAACACATGATTCATAATTGTATAGTATAGAAAATAAACTTTTTGGTATTGTCCTCAGCATTTCATGATGCAAAATTATTGACAAACATCTGTAGAAAAATAATAAAATAGTCCTTCAGTATTAAAATTCTTATTAAAAACCATTAGATCAAAGGGAGGATTATGACATCATCAATGCATAGATGAGTTAGGCATGAATGAGATGAATTGCCCTGGCTGTTTCAACAAATCAAAATATTTCATAGCCCATCTCTTAAAATAAATCAAAATACTTGGAATCTGAAGGTCACAGTTTGCCATAGGTCTATTGCAAAGCATTAAATGCATTCATACTTTTCATTACTCGGCAGTTTCTGATGATGGAACATGTAAGACAATGTGCATCCAATATAGAAGCATCACTCTGCATACTTACCAGGTGATTTTTATGCCACTTGTTGAATGCAGATTAATATATTTGGGCTTTTTATTGCTCGAGTAGAAAGTGCTCATTACTTATCATTTTATGTTTATCATATAGAAAATTAAAAACAAACAAAAAGTTTTCTTAAATGGCAGACATCACACTGTGGTAGTGGTGGATTTTCTCAAGATGGTCTTCTGTGGTTTTGGTGCAGTGGGAGGAGGCACGGCTGCAGGGGTGGGAGGGGGGAAGCTGTTACTGTGGCTTATTCCCAGTCCCCCATTTTCTAATGGGAAAGTGGGGGGATGAGGTGGAGGAGGGAAGGGAGGACCTTGGTGAGGGAGCTTTCCTGGCGGATGCACGGGTTCACTGTGCAAATGGACCTCCCTATTCTTTAAGTTATACCGGGTCTCACAGTCAGGACAATAGCCATGGTATTGTACTTTTTCATTGAACCGTACTCGTTCCCGAGGCCCTGCTTGCGGACTCCTGTCCTTTTCAGGTCTGTGCATCAGAGTCTGCACTGGAGCCTTGTCCAAGTTACTACCGGGTATGCAGCAGATGTCTCCATTTGGAATTTTGTTGGGTCTACCCGGTAAACCTCCATTCCGTAGAAGGGTACCGTTGGTCTTTACAGGATTGACAGCTGGCACCACTCTTTGAGGTTCTTCACACCTCACTGGTGTCAACCTTGGAGGAGGTGGTGGAGGGTTCGGCTTTCTCAGAACTGTGAGGATAGCAGATGGGTGCGCCGGAGGTTTAATGAGTGGGGCGTTGGCCTGCACTTTGATCTTCTCTATGCTGGAAGCTGTTGTACCGCTGGAACTACTGTTGAGAGTGTCTGTTTTGGAGCTGTCAGTCATCTCATCCTCCAGCTGTAGGTCAGAAGTCAAGGTATCAATCTGGTCAACCACCTGGTGGAAAGGACAAGGTAATGATATTGAAAGGCAACTGGAAGCACAATATACACAAAACAATTCTTTTCTGGACAGCTTTGATGCTTTACATAAGCCCTGGCTTTTCTTGAACTGTTAACTACAATGCTACCTAAGCATTTTAGTCATATTTAGAAATAGTAACCATCACAAAAGTACATACTGTTTGATATCAAAACCTCATAAACCTACAGCCTGATATGCTATTTTTCTTCTTGGCTGTGCTATCACCACCCACAGTAAAATTCAGATGCAAAAAAAAACAATATTTAAAAATAAAAAGGTGAAACTTCACATATGATTTAGAATTTAGAAAGTTACAAATCATGACTTCCATGCTGAAAAATAATCTGAACAATTAGGATAATATCTGGGCTTTTAACAAGATCGCTGTCGTTTTTGAGCCCCCGTGGTGATTTGAATGAAACCCAGTCCCAGAGGGAGTGGTACTATTTGGACTCATGACTTTGTTGAAGTACATATGGATTTGTTGGAGGAAGTACGTCATTGGGGGTGGCTTTGAGATTTCAGATGCTCATGTCAGGACTAGTGTCTTTTTCTATCCCTGCTGCCTGCACATCCAGATAAGTCCCTACCAACCACCACATCTGCCTGAATGCTGCCATGTGTCCTGTCATAATGATAATGGACTCAACCTCTGAACCGTAAGCAAGCCCCAATTGAGTGTTTCCGTTATAAGAGTTGTCATGCATGGTGTCTCTTCACAGCAGTAGAAACCACAACGAAGACAGCTCCCCAAACATGTTAAGGGCAGACATATGAGGTCCAACATAAAATCATAAACTCAATTAAAACATTTTGTGCCTTTTGTGATTTGTTTTTATTAAATTATCGTGAAGTTCTTATGACAAAGCCTTGTCTCAATTCAAATAGTTCTAGCGTAAAATTTCACTTTTAACTAAAAAATGCTTCTGATCCTTAACTCCAAATATTTTCTCTTTTTATTTCCTTTAACCTAATCTTTTAGGTCTTTTTATAAAAAACTCTTAAAATTATCAATTCATTTTCTGCCACAGAACATTCATACACAGTAATAGTTCTTCATGAAATGTCCCCTCTCCCACCTCTTGGTCAAATCAATGCCCACAAATTAAAAAAAAAAAAAAAAAAGAGTCTTAGTTCAGGAGTCAATCTTCATGTAAAGCTTTCTAATCCTTCTCTAACTGTATGTCACATTTATTGATTAAATACTCACAAACAATTGTATTTCTCTCTCTCAACAGAGTCACATAATTTTGAATTACATGTTAAGTAGCAGCATAGTACTGAAATACTTTTTCCCCTATAGACCCTGCCTATTCTCAATGACAATGGACATTTTTGATTATTCTTCCTTGTAGTATTCTAAATAGTGAATCGTACCTATGGAGTCTCAGAAATATTTATTAATAAATGCTTTGAGAATTATTTCTATAGGTCAAATGTGTGCAAAATCATTTTTCCATCTGATTGCTACATGTGACATAATTTCAACCTTGCTCAATTACTCTAAAAGAAATATTCTAGAAGAAACTTACTCAAAAAGGACATTTTCGCTAGTTCTTAGACATATATGCAGAAATTGCAGTTATGGGATGGCTAATAGTTTCAAGAGTTAAGGAAACTATCTTGACTCATTGTGGCTGTAGTCTGTTTTCCCTGGGAGGTAACTACTCCTAACCTTTAGTCAATTAAATTTCTACAGCAAAAGTAATACCTCTTCTATTATGAAAAACATAAAGCTGATGGGAAATTACTGGTACAAGCCTGAAGGCTTGATAATTCCTGACTGTTCTTTGTATCTACACTTTCATTTCTTGCATGTCTATTAATGCAAAGTTAATAAAATGCTGAAAATAGCACTGCTTTCATGGAGCAAGCAACCTAGTGGGACTGACTGTCATCCACAGATGTTAAAGATCTTAGGCTAGAAATGATTCCAAGTGCTCAACAGCATCTTAGATATTATAACGGGCTGAGACTCCTTGAGATAGGTGGGTGCAATGCTCCTGAGACTCGAGACAGATTTATTTGGCAGAAGAGCAATGGTTCAAGCATGCCTTCAGAAAGAGCTAATAAAAAGAAGAGAATATGGGAGCACTCAAGCAGCCCTCACTGCTGAAGGGCACTGTGAGCCAGCTAGCAGCTACACTGTAGGAGTGTTGCAATAATTTGCCACATGTTTCAAAATCACCCCCAGAATCCAGAGAAGCAGGGTTCAAAGAGACAACGTGTTAATAAGTATTTCTAGATGAGAAGTGCATTCTAGCTAAACTACATAGAGTTTCAAGGAGGAAAATACAAATCCTTTTTTAACAGTGAGAATACAAGCTGCAGAAAAGGAATTAAAAAACATTTAGAGCAACAAAAAGGCATCAAGTATTATAGAACATCAATAATAAGGAAAAATGTAGCATGAAAGGACTACTTTTAGCGAGTGGGAGTCCCAGTAAGAGAGAAGAAGGGGATAAGAAATAGAAATCAATGGTACCTGCAAGAAAAACTGCAATGGAATGTATTTGAAAAATATACTAATGAAACCTATCATTATGCATACTAAAGTTAATAAATTAAACATTGGCAAACAACATATGTATACACAAATAACAAATACCTCAAGATAATTTGGAAATGTGTGTCATATTGAATAAAACAACAGGAATTTTATTATAGTTTAATTTAATGTTAAACTGATAGAAATGGATATTTTCATTTACTAAAGATAAGGCTGGTATTTATATTAATAGCATACACATCCAAGTCTTTCATAAAGAAAGAAACATCATGGTGTCAATACAAACTTAGAGAATTTAATGAATGAAACTATTCAAAGTTCATATCCATCAAAGAACACACACACACACAAACATAAAAAAATAAGAAGATGGAAGCTTATAAGTGAGTAATTTACATAAGATGCACATGTAATTTATTAAGAATAAATCTTAATAGAAATCAAAACTATATACACTAAAGGAAAAGGATATAGACTTTGTCAATTGCTTAGTCAATGAGAATATGTTTTACCTTTTGTTGTTGTTGTTCTTTTTTTGTATTTATTTACTTATTCTTTCTGTCTTTCACATCATGCCTTCTAATTCCACTTGCCCACCCAAAAATAAGACAAGATAAAATTGAAGAAAAAAGCAGGGAACAAAAGGAAGAAGGGAAAGATCTCATCATGGAAGCTGCAGTGTGACACAGTGAGTCACCAAGTGAACCCCTTTACCCATGCATTTTTACATGTAGGCATTTATCTCAAACAATCATTAGTCTGATTCAAGGCCCCTGGTCTTTGTTGCACCATCCATTTTGGGCCCTCACTGGGACTCTTCCTGGACATCCAGTTTCTATCCTGTCTTAGAGATCCTGCAGTTCTGGGTCCACAGGACAGATACCACCCCTCTTGTCACCCCCCCATACTCCAACAGATCACAGATGAGGTGGACATTGGGATGGGCCAACCAGTAACCTGGTTCTGGGCCTGGGTACTTACATGATTCTTCATCCCACCAAATCTTCCCTGTCCTCATCACCAGGGTGAACTCTCCAGCATTCCCCTAGCTATTTCATCCCTTTTAGCCATGAGGAAATGAGCAAGGGATGGTGCCAGTTCTCTGGCTTTCTAGCCCTCAGGGATGGTTCTTCCACACTTACACCTTCAGGGCCAGCTGTACTATGTTGCTCAGAGAATACAGTTTTTAATATAAATTGCTGGTTATGATTTGAGTGAATGAGAAATTTGTATATTGCTAATACAGATATAAAATCACTTTACAAGATTGTTATAAATATCTTACAAAGCAGGTAAGATACATATTCTTTGTACAGTTCTTTTATGAACCAACTTCAGCCTACTCCAGGAAAACTAACATGTTTATAGGCATGGAAACCCAAAATGGTTTTCTTGGCAGGATTTTGTTATTTTTTCTTGACTTGTTATAGTTCAAAAGATATACATAAGCAAATAAATATAAATAAAAAGACTAGTGATAACCTAAATATCCATTAGTAAGTGACTTATGAGGTAAATACAGAGTAAAATAAATGGATTCACTAAGGGCAGCTAGCAAGGCTGCAGAAAAGAATTCCTCTTTGTAAAAAGCTGGGGGAAAGAGGAGTCAGGGCAAAAGAAAACACAAATTCTAAGAAAGAGAGAATGGCTTCTGGGAACCAATATGGGTGTGATCGGAAGGATAGAGGAGATAGCTCAGCTGGAAAAGTGCTTCTTACACATGCATCATGTTCTGAATTCAAACCTTCAAAACATCAAAAACCCACCCACATATAAAACTCGGGACATCCAGTATAGTTGAATTATGTGAGAGCAATTATCTCAAGAAATAAGATGGAGAGTAATTAAGAAGACACCTCATATTGACCTTTGCCATCCACACTAATAAAAATATGCACCCACACATGTGTATACATACATGAACACGTAAGCACACACAGGCACACAAGTGATGGGAAACCTAAACAGTGTTGAGAATCCCAAAGGGTGATTTAGCACCAAGATAAATAATGTTGTTAGGATAGTAATACTACAGAAAGACAGTCCACAGATTTAAAGCAACCCCTCATCTAATTACCAATAACACTCTTCACAGGTTTAGAAAAAATTTTCATAATTCATATGGAAACTCAAATGTCTGTGATTATCCAAAGCAATGCTGAGCAAAAACAACAATGCTGGATGTGCAGAAATACCTTATTTCAAAGTGCACTCACTACAGAGTTGTGGCAAAGCATACAGTAACATTAGACCAAAGTAGACACAGAAACAGTGGAATAGAATTAAGTACACAGAAAAGAAAGCTGTAGATTTGCTCTTCACCAAAGATACCATAAGCAAACCCCCTATATCCTGCTATACTCATAGATGGGTGCCCAATTGTCATCAGAGAGGCTTCATCCAGCACTGATGGAAATAGATGCAGAGACCCACAAACCAAACATTAGAAAGAGCTTGGGGAAAT